GGTTTCAATCTCTCTCCATTGAGAATAATGTTGGCTCTTGGTTTTGTATGTATGCTCTTTATTGTGTTGAGGAATTTCCCTTCTATTCCTAGTTTGCTGAGAGTTTTTTTTTTTTTTTTTTAAATCAAGAATGGGTGTTGGATTTTATCAAATGCCTTTCCTGCTTCAATTGATATGATCATGTGGTTCTTTTCCTTTATTTTACTTATGTGATGGATGGCATTGATTGTTTTTCTCATGTTGAACTATCCTTACATACCTGGTATGAAACCCACTTGGTCATAATGTAGTATTTTTCTGATATATTGTTGGAGTCTGTTGGCTAGGATTTTGTTGAAGATTTTTGCATCTATATTCATGAGGGATATTTATCTGTAGTTTTCCTTTTTAGTGATGCCTTTGCATGGTTTTGGTATCAAGGTTATACTTGCTTCATACAATGAATTTGGGAGGATTCCATCCTTTTTTATGTTCTAGAATAGTTTGAGGAGCTCTGGTAGCTTAGTACCTAAGGCACTTGACTGCTGACTAGAAGGCTGGCGGTTCAAACCCACCAGCCCCTCCTCAGAAGGAAGGTTGGGCAATCTACTTCCATAGTGATACTGCCTGGGAAACCCAAGGGAGGGGTCGTTATGAGTCAGGTCTGACTTGATAGCACATAACAACAACAACAACAACAGAATAGTTTGAGTAAGATTAGTGTCAGTTCTTCTGTGAATGTTTCGTGGATTTCTCGAGTGAAACCATCTAGACTAGGACTTTTTTTTGAGGGTAATTTTTCTGTGACCTGTTGAATTTCTTTTTTTGTTATGAATCTGTTCAAATTTTCCACATCAGCCTGTGTTAGTTTAGGTAACTAATACGTTTCTAGAAATCTGTCCATTTCTTCTAGATTTTCTAATTTGTTGGAGTACAGTTCTTGATAGTATCCTGGTAGTAACCTTTTTGTTTCAATTGGTTCTGTTGTGACATTGTACACATCACTTATTATTTGTGTTATTTGTATCTTCTCCCTCTTTTCCTTTGTTAAGTTTGCCAGTGGTTTGTGAATTTTACTAATCTTTTCAAAAAACTAACTTCTATATTGTTGATTTTTTTCTATTTTCTTTCTATTTCATTTATTTCTGCTTGAATCTTTATTATTTCTTCTGGTGTCTGTAGTCGTTTTTTGCTGTTCTTTTTGTAATTGTTGGAGATGTTGGACTAAGGTGTTGATTTTGGTTCTTTCTTCTTTTTTGATGTTTGCATTTATTGCTAATTGCCATCTGATCCCTGGGTTTGCTGTGTCTGAAAGATTTTGTTAGGTATGTTGTGTTTTTTTCATTCTCATTTGATCCAAGGAATTTTTTAATTTCATTTTTTTGCTTCTGTGACCCAGTTGTTGTTCAGGAGGGTGTTATTCAGTTTCCATGTGTTTGCTCTTTTTCTTTTGATCTTCCCGTTGTTGATTTCTAATTTTATAGCATTGTGATCTGAGAAGATGCTTTGCACTATTTCAGTGTTTTCAAGTTTATTGAGTCTTGCTTTGTGGCTTAATATAAGGTTTCTCTGGAGAATGTTCCACATGCACTGGAAAAGAATGTATATTGTGCTTTTGATTCGTGAAGTGCTCTGTAGATGTCTGTAAGGTCAAGTTGGTGGATTGTGTTGTTTAGTTCTTCTGTGTTTTTGCTGTTTCTTTCCAGTTATTCTGTCTTTCATTGAAAGTGGTATATTAAAGTCCTGTACTTTCATTGTGGAGTCCTCTATTTGTCTTTTCAATTCTGTTACAGACTCATTTATGTATTTTAGAGCTCTTTCACTGGGTACATAGATATTTATTATGGTTGTGTCCTCTTATTCATTTAATCCTTTAATCATTTTGTAATGTCCTTCCTTGTCTCTTATGGTGGTTTTGGTCTTAAAGTCAGTTTCATCAGAAATTAATATTGCCACTCCTGCTTTTTTGTAGTTGCCATTTGCTTGATATATCTTTTTCTAACCTTTGATTTTCAGTCTATTTTTGTGTTTCTCTCTCTAAGGTGTGTCTCTTGTAGACAGCTTGTTGATGAGTTATGTTTTCTTATCCAGTCTGCAGCTCTCTGTCTCTTGAGTGGTGTATTTAATCCATTTACAGTCAGTGTAATTATCAGCAGGTGTGAATTTGTTGCTGTCGTTTTGTTATGTGTTTTTTCATGGTGTTGCTGATTTCTTTGTTCCGTCTAATTTTCTGTGCTCAGCTCATTTTGTTTATGAATCACGTTATCAGTTCCTTCCTTGCTGTTGTTTTCGTATTGGCTAAGTGTTTATGCTTGTCCTCTTTTTCATTTTCATGTGAAAGTTTACTATTTTTCTTTGAGGTTATTCTGTGATTTATAATTTTCTTTCCAATTTTATTTATTTATTTTTGCTTTTTTTTTTTTTTTTTTTTAATTGTGATTTGGGTGAAGGTTTACAGAGTAAATTCACTTTCCATACAGCGGTTTACATATACTTTTGTCTCATGATATTGACCACAGTTTACCACAATGCAACAGCTCCCCTCCCACTTCCTCCCCACAGTTACCTCTTCCCTGTGTCCATCCCTCCATTCACTCCTGCCCCCTGAGCTGTCTCCCTATGCATAAGCAGCCTTTCTTTCTCCTATGATTGTTCTCTCCAAGGAGTGTATGTACTTGAGGTAAATGTTCAACTCATATGCCTATCTTTTGTTTGGCTGGAAACCACAGGTGTGGTTACAATTCCAGATCTGAAGGGCCGCTGGGGGCCATAGTCTCAGTGGTTCCACCAGGCTCTATCGGACCAGCAAACCTGTCCCCCCCCCCCTTTTTTTTCCCCAATTTTAGAGCAGTTCATACTATCTTGCAATTGTCTTGACTTCCTCACCATTTAGAAGTTCTTTTTCCCTCTTTTTGGTTTTTAGTTGTCCTCATTTACCAATTGATATCTCTGGTTCCCTGTTTATGGTCTTGTAAGCTAAATATTTTACTTTGGAAACTTCCATAACTGGGTTGGTGTCTGTATTAAAAGTTATCATGTGTGTTAACGGTTAGTTGTTGTTTGCTGTTGTTGGTTCTTTGTTCAAAGGACTCCCTTTAGTATCTCTCGTAAGGTTGGTCTGGTTTTAACAAATTCCCTTAATTTCTGCTTATCTGGGATTGTCCTAGTGTCACCATCATATCTGAGCAAGTTTTGCTGGGTATATAATTCTTGGTGGAAAACTTTTTTCTCTCAGGGTTTCATATATACCATCTGTGGTAGTTAAGGTTATGTGTTGTCTGCTTGGCTGGGCCTGGTTTTGAGTGGCTGAGCAGCTAGTTAACAGTTACTCCCGGTGATGATACTGGCATTCAACTCCATGGTGGAATTTACTGGAACAGCTGAGTAGGTGCATTAGGAATGTGGTTTCCTTCTGTTACATATGGAGAAGCTTTGGGAATGGTCTTGACATTTTTGGCATGCTTGGACCCTGCATGTAGCTGATTATTTGTTCAGCATCCTGCTATGTCCTGCTGATCTTGAGACTTTTTCTGGACTTGAACTAGTGGTCTGCTGTGTTATTTGATAATCTTGGAACTGTGTCTTTTTACTTGTTGACCTTGGGTTTACCAGCTTCAGTAGCCAGCAGTTGCCTGAGTTATCAGATGTCTCCAGCATCAGTGGGCCAGGAGCAAGAGGCAGAGCTGAAACCCAAGGTTGAGGGGCTTTCACCCAGCCTCTCGAGCTTGGTACTTTGAACTTGGACTTTTAGTCTTCAATACTATAAGAGAATAAATCCCTGTTTGTTTAAAGCTATCCATTTTTGGTATAATTCTGTCAGAGTGGCACAGAGTAACCAAAACACCATCCCATTACCTTGTCACCTGCATGATTTCTGCCAAGAAATCCAAGCTTAGTCTTATTGGTTGCCCTTTGTAGGTAACTTTTTATTTTTCCCGTCCTGTTTTCAGAATTCTTTCTTTGTCTTTGGTTTTGGTGAGTCTGATTATGATATGTCTTGGTGATTTTCTGTTGAGGTCTATCTTGTTTGGGGTTCATTGAACTTCTTGAATGGATATATTCTCATCTTTCATCATATCAGGGAAATTCTCTTCCAACATATCTTCAACAATTTTCTCTGTGGTTTTATTTGTCTGTTCCTGTTCTGCAATTCTGGTTACACGTAAGTTATTCCTCTTGATGGTATCCCACATGAATCTTAGTCTTTCTTCATTTTGTTTTGATCTTTTTTCCGATTGACCCCTTAACAAAGTAGTATTGAGGTACTTGTGTTCAGTATCACTAATTCTCTCTTGCATTGATTCATTTTTGCTCCTTTGCCCACTCAGTGTGTTACCTGTTTCTGAAATTTTAGTATTCATCTTCTGAATTTCTATTTGTAGATTTTGTATCATTTCTGAATTTTCATTTCTTTTGTCATTTTGTTCTTGTTTTGTTTTCCTAAATTGTTGTAGACTTATGTCTGTATTTTTCTTAATTTTGTGAGTGTTTTCCTTGATCTGTCTCTCAATCCGTTGAAGGTACCTAAATACAATCTTTTTGAATTCCTTATCAGGGAGTTCCAATACTGTTTCTTTCTCAGGGATATTTTCTGGATCTGTATCCTAGTTCCTTGTTTCTACTACCTTATCTTGCTTCTTTGTGTGGACTGTGATGGTCTTTTGTCTTTGCGACATTATGACATTGTTGTATTTATATTTAATCTGTCATTGTATGTTGGTGTGATTCACCCAAGATTTTTTTTTTCTTTGTTTTGTTTTGATATATCTGAGTAAGCAGGGTACTGTGCTACTCTGTTTGCTAGTTGGGAGCACTTAGGTGACAATATCTGGGGAGGGGAAAAAGAGCAAGAGTAAAAGAATAATAAAGAAAAAAATGAGAAAACTGCAAAAAGAAAAACAAGGGAAAGGAAGAACCAAGAGATAGAAAAAAGATGGGAGCCAGGGAAAGGAAAGAGAAAAAAAATGAGTTAAAACCTGGGAAATAAAAAGAAAGAATAAAAATAAAACAAAAATCTGGGCAGGACAGAGCACCCAGCCTCTGTCAGAGCACACAGACTGTGATGGAATTCCTGCCAGTCCAGAATGGGGTGGAAGTGGGGATGGCTGTGTCTCCATTCATCAAGAGGGTGTAGGATATAAGAGTAACAAGGGGAATATCACACCTTTCCAGTTGTAGCCTCCAGTGTGGTTGCCTGTGCTGTCCTCGGCAAGTGGAGCCTATTCTTAGGTCACTGGGATCATAATTCTGCTGCTTGTAATTATCCAAAATGGCTGCACCCTCTGGACAGTTGAAAGTCCACAACTCAGTTTGTCTCTTTATTTGCTGTTTTCCTTTTTAGTCATCAGCCACCACTGTAATTGTCCATGCAGCCCTTGGTGAGCAGGGCCAGTTTTTAGGTTTTTGCCTAGATCATAATGCTACTTGTAAGTATTCAAAGTGGCTGTGCCATTAGGATAGCCAACAGTCCACAGCTCCATTTGTGTCTTCATTCACTGTTCTCATTCAGGTTTTTGTACTAGTTGGTATTTAATCCACTTCTGTATCCTTTCTTTCAAAGCTCAGGGCTCTGGGATTATCTTCTGTATCTGTGTCAATTGGTTTCTCTTTTCTTTGTTGAAGAGAGTCTGTGTAGCTTGTCTGTCAATTTGGCATTTTGCTGGAAGTCCCTCATAAATTTAAGTTCTTTACCACAATAATACATGTTGTT